TCAAATATTTCTTTTATATAATTACCACAAAAAGAATTATTAACGTCAAAAGGCATGACTGCAGGAGCAATCAGACAAGAGAAGTTACATCTTATATAAAATTAATACAAATATCAATTATACATACATTAATTTAATTAAAATGGCTTATGGAATGAATACGTAAAAGAGAGAGTATAATTTCAAGTAATAGAACTGAAAAGGAGAGTATATTTTCAGAAAATAGAACAAAATAAACGTGTTGAGTTTGTTGCCAAAGATGTCGACCTTATCTAACAATCATGGTGTTTGTGTTCTATGTCTACCACAAGGAACTATAAGATGAACATTAATGACATATTTACTTTTCATCATATGCAATTAAAGATAGTTTGTTTCCAGCTTTTCCCACAATTTGTTTTTGACGTTTCAATCAAAGGCTCTTTTAGACATTTACATTGTTGTTAGCTATCAATGCATTTATACGCATTTATTTTGAACAATCGCTCGTTTTCAGTTGAAATGCTATTTCAAACGTACGCTCAAGCCGTTGCTAGGGGGCGTGAGGGTTGTTGCACGTATTAATTATCCCTCATGTACAGACTCAATCAAACCGAGTCTGTAATTCTCATGTTATTTTGTTGTGCTCCGAGGGATCACTTTGTTTCCAGATTTTTATACTTCACAACAGCAGGTGTCAAGTGCTGTGTGGAAGCTGTAAAAAATTGCCTTTTACTTCACTTCAGTGTTGTTATATTTTTGCTGGTCCTTCGGGATCATTGATGCCAGCACTATTAAGTGTTGAGAATTTAGTATCGCTTAAGCCGGTGCTAGGGGGCGTGAGCGGTTTATATTTTCCCAACAAAAAATTGGCATTGATGCTGCATGGGAATTCAAATAATAATATTTGGAAACAGATTACACCAAATTAATGGTTCCCTTTTATCAGTGTGTGTTTCGGTTCTAAACGAAATTCATATCTGAATGATGTATTGTTGTAATTAACATTGATTGATAAATATTGTTAAATCAAAAGCTTATATATCCAGAAGCGCATTAATACATTATATACATCTCCATTTCAGTTCGTTCAGTACTACTGTGACACTACTATTGTTACACCACTATTGTGACACTACTATTGTGACACTACTATTGTGACACTACTATTGTAACACTACTATTGTAACACTACTATTGTTACACTTTTATTGTTACACTACTACTACTACTACTGTGACACTTCTACGATAACACTTCTATTATGACACTTCTATTGCGAATACTTACAATGTAATTACTGTGTTTTATTGTATAATTACTGTGATAGCAAGAACTAAAGACTCACAAAAACATTAAACGTTCTGAATAATACGGTGTTACACATGCAAATGATGTCCTGTTAGTGCTCAAAAGAAATAAGATATTTCAAACTAAGAGATACGTTAACAGCGTAGTTTAGAGTCTGTGTATTTCATCAAGATCAAGAAATGGCAAATTCTTCATTAACATTACTGGCATATTATTATGTTAAACATGATTTCGATCAGTTTTTGTCAGACTATTATTGAAAGCCTTCATATAAGTTGATAACAGCTAAATCTAGATTATACATAATAAACCGGCACGAAAATATACGAACTACAATTCACATTATTTTTATTATTAAGCAGATCATGTTATGTGTGGAGAGATTTTATTGGCAATAAAACATCCTGCCAAGAAGTGTCAGTGTCATAGAGAACAACTAAAGTAATCCTTTTTCTTGTGATTTAATATCCCTAACACATGGATGGGTACGCAGTTGGCAAATGTTCTAAGCTTTGTCCGAATATAAAGTTTCATTGAATTATCAGTAGGGGTATCTTCACTGATAGAAGGTTGTAATTACTAGTATTATATGATTGGAAAATGATAAATTAGTACGTGTTTACAATTTGGAGATGTACTGTATAATTTGTTAGGATATTGATCATACGATAAAAGACTTAGTACCACATACGATTTATTTAATACCTTATTAAATATAACCAATGAACTTTCACGTAATGTTCCAATAAAAATAATTAATAGATCCAATGTTATCAATTTTGCCACTTTTTCATTTTAAAAGCCCCAAAAGTCAATATCAAATGCATATCATTTTCAGTCTAAAGAATGTATGTCATAATCCATTTAGCCTCATTTCATTTTTGAGTGTCCAAAAATCTGCATCGAATCCTTATATACTTGAAGTATCAAAGTGGGTCGTTATATATTGTTGAAAACAATACTGATTTTATTGTCTCGCGAGTAATGGTTAAATCTCTCCCATTGAGTACCTAATTTGACTGCGTTAAAATAATTGAAGGGTTTTGTATGCAATCAAGTGCCATAATTTGCTTTCATAAAGAAAACGATTAAAGCCTTGAAAAGTTTATTATAGTTACACCATTATAGCACCAGTGATAGCAAAATAAATATTCTTCCTGAATATCAATAATTTAAATTTTGTCTCTCAAATACTAAGAATGATATGGTAGGCACGTTTGCACATATGTTTCTAATTGAATTTGCACATGAAATTTTGGTGCAATGTTGGCATCATTTAATAAATCGTCTTTATATAAATCATTCAACGTGTACTATATGTTTATAACGTATACAATAATTTATATAATTATGAATGGGTATGATTATAATGAGTAAACAGACGTTATTTAGTCACTTTGTTGCCAAATATGTTGCCCTCATCAAATGATTAGTATGTTTCCTTACTGTCTAATATTTTACTATCATCTACAACAATTAAACCAGCATTAATTACATAAACACTTTTCAAGGTAGCTTGTTTACACTTTTGACATTTTTTCCTCTACATTTAGTTAATGATGTAAAAGTGGTTTGTTGTTGTTTTGTTTTCCTTCCTTCTACTTTAATGTCTCGTCTAATTGACTATGCTGATTGAACCCGACTTACTGCAAACATGATAGAGGAAGTATCTAATTATACTCTGTGGTATGAAGATATTGAATGAGTATTTCATTAACCTAAAATAATACCTGTTTAAATATCTTTTTTTCTGTTTTGATAATTATGATGCTAACAAAACAGTAGAACCAAGTTAAATTGTATAAAAGAAAGGCTTTATAGTTAATTCACAATTTCGCAATTTGACGAAATTCTATTTATATAATTATCATGTTTTGTGGAGACATAGTTATCCCTCATAAGCATTCACAACAAAATAACATGGAAATTGCAGACTTGGTCAGTTTGAATCTTTATGAGGGATAATAAAAAGTGCAACAGCCGCCATGAACCCCTAGCACCGGCTTGAGCGGTACTGAATTTTCAACACTTACAAGTGCTGGAATCAATGATCCCGAAGCACCAGAAAGATATAACAAAACTAAATTTTACACTGCAAACTTTATAAGATTTTACACAGTATTTTTCTTAGGAATTGATTAGTTAGAACGCATGATAAAAAAACTTTCATATTAGTCTCATTATATAGTGTACTTTAGAAGAAGAGAAATGAACAGTTGATATTGATAGATTGATTAATTACTTCCACCAATTATTTTCTGTGATCTTGTAAAGTTCTGAATGTAACATACCTTTAAGAGTTGTTTAAATTGGCTGCCACGTGTTACAGGAACTATCATTCAACTGCCAAAGATCCAGCATTTTCTATTCTACTCTTTCATGAAAAAGAACTGCAAAATAGTCCGATAATCCCCTTAGTTCGATATATTTTGGTTCAGCATGCTAGAGATGTACCCAAAAAATATCTTAAAGGAAAATACTTACTGGTACACTTAAGTTTTCCAAATTACAGATTTTTGACGAACTTGGTTTTCGCTAAATATGTTTCACTGACAGAGTGGATAGTCTTTTTAAATAATTCTGTCAAACAATGGAAACATCCGCTTACATGATAAGTATCATACAAAATGTCAATAACAAATGTTTTTCCGTAAAACATTCTATTCCTAAAGAAGCCTTTTATCGTTTTAAAATATTGATAAATGGAATTTTTTAGATTAATTAAATAGTGAAACTTTCTAACGTTTTTAATCATTCCGATAAAATAAAGAAATTATACGAAATCGTATATCATATATAAAGTCAATTTTCAATCATGTTGTGCAAGGAAGAAGAAAAGAGTGAAATGTATATGAAGGAAACTAAATTGTTCATCATTTTTTATTTACCTCATATATGTAGTACTACTGAATCATTTGTTCTATCGATTGCATTGCAATAACTCGAAGTTAATACTAAACTTCTAGTATAATAAGCAGTTTTGTAATGATCCTAAATGGTGGAAGATATCAAGTAAACTTATAGATTCAAATACAAAAAAAATACAAAAAAAATTATAAAAAATTAATTAATGTAATTAGAGTGTAACTATATTCCAATTGATCAAATGATGCGGCATCATGCATACCAGATTCTGTTGGAAGATTAGCTAAGTTCTTTGTGAGTGGGTACTGTTAGGGTTGTTGAAAACCGCTTTCCCTTGTTGACCTTTTCTTTTTATTTATTTATTTTTATTTTAACTTTTCTATTTATTTTTTTTACTTTCTTTTGTTTATTGTGAATATCATGTTGTCTTCTGAGCACCAAAATCTGCATTATCAAGTAATTTATACATATTTGTCTATTTTCAGCTTTGACAGTGAAATACATTACAAAAAGATTCATCATGGAGTATGATCAATATATAGGTAAGATTTTGAAGTCAAATAATTTCTTAAATATTTTCACTTAGTAGATCAAGTAACTCCCTTGACCATTTTTCCCAACATCAAACTAAAGTCCCAAATCATTTGATCTCAATAATGAATCAAAATCTCATATACATATATCAATACTAAATACTAGTACATTTGTTCGTCAATAACCGTTTGTTTTATTCATCATTTGTTGGGTAAAGTACTTTTCCGATGTGTACGATTAAAACCTCACTTGTATTGCAATAACCTTTTTATTATTATTTTTATTATTATCGTTGTTCTTTATTTTTTAAGAGGATATTTATACTAAACACGAAGATGTTGATGGACAAGAGTTCATTGTAAACGTAATGGACACGTATGAAAAGGTAAATTATATAACTTTTTACTCATCAATCTTAGAAGAAAACAATTAAAAGTATACCAAACCTCATGAAGGTAAAATGATTGCACGACAGATATTAAGAAATTAATAACCTTAGAAGAAAAAATGAAAAGAAAAACGAAAAACTCGATGATTAAAACATGTTTCATAAATGACATATATATATACATAAGTTTGTGTGGCAATATGATGGTTAAAGTCAATGTTCGGAAGCAAATAAATCTTTATGCCTAAGAACACGTATCTTGTACCTTTTATATTTTCTTATCTTCTGCATTTAATAAATTATGTAAAACTTTACGCAAAGCTACGTTTATCTACCAGGTTTAGTAAATTTGATTGGTTAAGTTTGATTGAAAGCGGTTGAAGCATATGATATCGACTACACTACATCTATCAATCAAACTTAAGTATTTAAGTGTGTGAAATCAAAGTAAAGTATTTATAATGCACCAAAGTAAGATATACATAACGTACCAAAGTAAAATGTACATAATGCAAATAAACAAATTTATATGTGTGTTGTAGACTTTCCTAAAACGATACACCACATTATTTAATGATAAGAACTGTAGGTATGTAATATTATCACTGCTATGTACTCAATCACAATTTCAGGATGATTCAAACAGTCAGAGATATTTGAGATGGGCGGACGCTTTTATTGTTGTGTACAGTATAACAGATAGACCTAGTTTTGAGATAGCTCGGCAGTACCTGCAGAAAGTCTCTGAACATTTACGTATCTCCAACAAAGATTGCCCTATTGCCCTCGTAGGCAATAAAAGTGATCTCGAGCGTTACAGGTATTATACTTCATAGTTAAATACAATGTTGAATAGACACAAACTTCTGATAATTATTCACTTTTATTTCATCTTTATCATAGCGAATGGAAGTTTTTTAAGAGTTGAAAGATCTTATATTGTACTCACGTAGAACAGAATGTGTACATTTGGTTAGAGAGAAAAGTTGTATGCTTATGAATGCAACGTTTATAGGCAATATATGTGTCAAAAGGTATAAATATGTATTGGCCACATAATGTTATACTTTTAAGTGGTCTTTTGCATTCGGTTAATTTTTAACAAAGCTTTCTCGCGTCAAACATAATCTTATAGTTTGACGCGAGAAAGCTTTGTTAAAAAATAACCGAATGCAAAAGACTACTTAAAATGTTTACATATATGTTACTTCAACATTTTACTGCTTCATCCCCACGTTATTCACACGAAAACAGCTATCAACTTTCAACTTAAAGTAAATTATCGTTTAGCCATCACATTTTTGCACATTTTGACACTAAATGCTCCTATGTTTTACTTCCAGTAGTTTCCTTTTTTTTCTTTCATTAAGTTCACAATTTCGTGTAAATATAATTATGTTAGAGTGATTGGCTTCAACTACATAAAATATATGTTTAAGTACATGTATATTATAACAAATAATATGATCTAAAACTTACGATACTATCTATTTACAGACAAATTAGTAAAGCTGATGGTCAAACATTATCGTGTGAATACGATGGTATATTTTACGAGTGTTCGGCAGCTGAGGAGTATGAATATGTAGAAGACATTTTCTATGGACTTGTACATTCAATACAACGGCAACGAGGAGAACGAAGTCTAACTTATTCACCATTGTTTATAACGGAGGACAAATATCACTCTATGCAAAGAAATAGACCACGCTCGCCAAGAAGTAGTACGGAAAAGAAAGAAGACAAAGCACAGAATAAGAAAAATCCGACCAGCTTTAAACTGTTCAATAAAAGTTTTAAGATATTCAATTAACGAAAAGAGTGCAGTGCTAAATCGCAAAACTGTGCTCATAAAGTAAAGCGTAGAAAACCCTCTACATTAAGGAAGTTTAAAAATGAAAAATTTATATTATTCGAATGGAGTTACAGAAGTTCCTAGATGTGATTGCTGAATGAATAAACCAGAAACAAATTTAAACGATATCAAATAATAATACCGCTCCGATGTAGTTATGTTAAACGTTTTCTCTGTAAATGACTTTTACGATTGTACTGTAAAGAAAAATGATACTTTGTAAATAATGAAAATGCAAATAAAACTATAGTATATAATGTTTCTTGAAATATTGGCGCTGGCGCTACAATTGAATTCCAAACTTGTCGACATAAAAATATGATAAAACAAGTATAATTATCAATCAGTGAGTATGTTCCAAATATGTTGACCAGATTTAAAATGTTATAAAATTTGTTTAGTATTTAAAAACAATGAATATTATGTTTACATAATATGCATAATATATAACAGTTACCTTGTATTTGATTCAATATTGAATTGCTGTTAGGAACCCTGGGATGTGGGAATTTTTTAAATGTCCATACCAAGTATAGGGGACTGGAAGTCTATAACAATTACTGAAATTAAATTACTATTACTATTATTGCACCAAATATAATAATTTTCATTTTCTTCTTTCGATGTTATTTTATTCAAACTAAACAAATACTTACCATATATCGTATATTTTTATTCCAGAGTGACATAATCAGCGTTATATTCCTTTTACATTCACCTAACACGAATATTGTATTCAACTCTATAAGACGACTGTCTTCATAATTATAAGGACATTCAGAATTTCGATCTAGTCAAAGTGACTGGAGTAATCTGGGATTGTAAGATTCTTAAACTTTAATAAAAACATATGCAGTTGAAATATAGATTGAAATAAATTATATTTTTCTTACTCGACTTCGTTTTTATTGACGTATTATAAAAGAGTACAGTAAATTGAGCGAGAAACTTCTGTTAAACTTTGAAGTTACAACAGATAATGCCAATCATTCCTGCTAAATTGATGAGTACATAAATAGATGACTTGTTCTTCTTACAACAAACTTTTTCAAAGTGTTCCAGCAACAATTTATCATTGTTGTGGCATTACATAGACAAATATTGTTTTGGCAACGAGCTTTGGCAAAAGTCATATTTTCAAAAATAGATAAAAATATATCAAAGAAGAATATGTTCCGGGAATCGGGGTTTCTACCTTTAAACAATAAATTTACTATTTATGTTCCAAATACAATAACTGCACATTTCACGGTTAAAGATGTGTCAGAAACGTTTTCTTTCAAAGTACGTACTTTATTACAAAAACAAACCATTTATCAATTGATTTCTAACTGTTTTGATATTCTGCTAAGATAAATTTTTATAGTTATCATTAAATAATGTTGCTTTGTTTTGTATTATATAGTATTTTTTTCATATCATAGTTTATGAAGCAGGTTTCTTAACTATTTCACATACTTTCGAGAAGTAACTTACACTCTTAAACTCAGATTTATTTAAATTCACATATGTGGGGTAATGACATTACATGAAAGTTTAGTATTTCTTTAACAACAGAACATGGAAAGTATTTACACACAAACATTTCTGGCATTCTTTCATGTTCAATGTTAGCACAATCAGTCTTCGACAGACAATTAAAGAAATATCATAGTTAAATCATGATTTTAAGAAGGAATAATTCGTATATTATATGCTTCATTGTTTGATAAATGAGAGGATCAGTCTATAAGTTGAGATATTTTAATTGCCATAAAACTTCCTGCCAAGAAGTGTCAGTGATACGAAAACGCAATAAAGTAATAATGATATACATAAACACACACACAGAGGAATACACGTGCAAATATTGCACCTGTTCAAAATACTTCTAACATGTTGCAGCTTTAGTATCCATTAAAATGATATAAAGAATCTTGCTAAAAAATCTAAATATGATAAAACTACACTGTGCTGATTTCCGTTGTTCAAAATGTGCAAACTATCAGCGATCTAGTAAAATAACATATTTGTTCCCTTCATAACAATTTATGAGAGTCCCGTAATTAAGTTATATACAGGAAAATGCAAGTCGGTAAAGTTGAATAGAATAAATAGAAACCATGTAGACAAACTCATCATAGCGATAAACCATCAACTACTTGTACTTTCACCAGCATTTCATCGTCTTTTTATTTTTATTTTTTATTATTTTATTATTATTTATTTATTTATCTATTTTTGAGGGGGAGGGGTCTAAATATAGCAGAATATAAAACATATAATCTAATGCATGTGAATGTCGGTGTGCTACCAAACGATTGTTATATTTATTATAGATATTTTATTGTATAAATACAGTTTTTGCACATCTTTAAATACACCAGTGCCGTTTTGGAAACTCGCAGTTTCAAACTGTCTAAGAACGGAATACTCTGTTTATTTTGTCATCTTTTTTATCAAAACTTCAGATTTGAAATTGGTTAACAGATTCGTCAGATAGTGTTAACAGATATGCTGTCAGCAACTTTTATTTTAAAAATCGTTTCTATTTTTGTTTGGCGTCAATGCATGTTAATTTCAAAGTTGAGAATTAAGGATAGATAGATCTTCTTAAAACCAACTATATATTTTTTGTCCAACATTCTCCATCTCATTCACACTTTTGTATTCTCTATCAGAAAAGTTTTTCTCTCATTCCTACAAGTCGAAGTTTCCAAAAGAGATTCAAGTATGTTAGAGTATTATAGTGAGACTGAAACATTCCTGCGCTGCACACAAGAGAATTAAACATATAGTTTGCTGATAAGCTAAATGGTCCTTACCATTATGTTTACATAATTCTTTGACATGTTATAAATAAAATTGATATGCTCTTACCTTTTCTATTGTACTTTGTATAGTTCTTATCAACCGGAAAACTTTTACATTGGAAACATCTGTAAAAGTGATTTGTAACAGACAAAGGGCGTAAATAAAAGCGGTCTTTTACACTTTTATTTGCTAATGATGCTTTTAACGTTTTGAAACGTTTAAGATATAAATGAAAGTTTCCAGAAATACGGTTCAATTATTCGTGCGTTTGATGTTATAAAACATAACAAGGTTCATTTTCTTATGATGATTTTTTGGCATTCATTTATTAATGCCTTACCGCACATAACTATTAAGATTTATTTATTTATTTATTTATTTATTTATTTATTTATTCATTCATTCATTTATTTATTTATTTATTTACTTATTAAAAAAGACACACATATAATCTTTATTGAAATATTTTTAGACAGAAAGCGTTTAAACAATAATTAATCAAATAATTTCGAAAATGAAGTCAGAAAATATTAACTACCACAGAAATGATATGTATATCTTAATGATATACGCACACATGCATGTTTACTTACTCGAAATTTTGAGTTACATACTCGAAACTTCGAGCTACTTATTTCGAAATTTCGACTTCCGTAACGCGAAATTTCTACTTACTCAAAATTTCGACTTAGTAACTCGAAATTTCGACTAAGTAACTCGACATCTAGACTTAGTAACTTGAAATTTAGACTTCGTAATTCGAAATTTCGATTAATTAACTCGAAATTTCGCCTGAGTTACATTACTAGAATGGCCAAAATATCATTAACCAATGAGTTTAGATAATATAAGATATAGTAGGGAGTGCAATTGTACGATGGAGATGGAGAACCGGGTGCCTGGACAAACTATTTGAATAAAACGATCCTAAACTTCACGTTAAAATTTCGAGTAATTTAAAATAAAAACACAAACCTCGCACAAGTTTATGCTCTTCCGTAGGAAATAGTTTCACACATAAATAGTATGTAGGAAAACAATCACCAGTACATTTATGAATTATAAATAATTATATCAATTTTTGAGCTTAAATCTCCAAATGAAAAGAAACCTCCTTAAATGAAGATATGCCGGTAAACTTCATCATAAAATAAAATAATTCGCAATAATATACAATAAGCAATCAAATTCAAAAATATAAGATGTGATGGTTATACAGAGATTATTGGTTAATATATTGAAACTTACCAACAAAATTGCTGCCCTACATTTTACAATGGAACAAAACCACCCAATGTTTCTGACAGGGAAGAATCAACGTTTGTGTAGAATATTTAAGATTGTTCCCTAAATTATGTATGTTATCAAAATTAACTTAAAATGCTAACATATTAAAAGTTCAAACCAGCCATATATGAATATTCATAAGTTGACACAGATGTAACACATCCTCTGTCATAGCTTATATAGCAAGGTATTCTATTTGATAATGTAAAACTAAAGGTTTGTAAGAGCTAACTTCAACCGTACCTACGTGTAAATGTAAATTAAATTCCAAAAATGTATTACAATTGCTGTTTTACGTGATACTTCAAGTTTTGGCAAAGGTTTTTATTGCTAATAGAATCAATCCACAGATAAAATGATCCGTTCAACAGTAATATTATGTAGAATAAATCGCAGACATGTTTTTGCAACGAATGAAAACTCATTAAAAGGTTAAAAGTATATAAGATTTCATTACAGTTCTGACATTCTTTGTTCTTCCTTAAGATAAGCATGATAATATGTCAATAATGATAAATTTACCATTTCCCTGCCTTGATCCACCCATATAGATTAAACATATTGATTTTAAATGCATAGATATCTTATACAGCTCGCCATAACGCCTTCCTTAACCGTAATAGTTATACTAAGACGACTTTGTTATCTCAAATCACCATACCCAGGTAATAATATTTCCATATAACAGTCGAGTACGATTTACTGTAAATGATTTATCGAATGATAAACAGGAATGAAAATTCTGATCAGACAAGGACATTCTATTTGTATTTCTTTTCCCTTAATGAATTACATAATCCGTTCAGAAACTAAGAAACTTTTGTCTGGTATGGTACATGTTCTCTCATAAAATGTTTATTTACGATGAAATATCAATTTTTTCCTTGTTCTGGTAAAATATCAAATAAAAATATGTTACTTATAATTATAATGATGATGATGACTAGAACTGCATTGGCCTGAGACATCCCCGCACACCTTTTTGTCAATATGGTATTGTGATATTTCATGTTGTTTCATCAGACTGACTAAAATATAGCTCAACACAAAACATACAAATGGAAAATTACAAAGGGCAATATAGTAACCTGCAAAATTATACAAAAGATAGTGAAGAGTTTGAACATGTACATAACCTT